CTAATAATCCCCTAATAAATATTTTTCTTTATTCCCATTACCTGTTTCCTTGATATCGTATTGATATTGTAAGGAGAAGTTTTATCTTGGTCACCCCTTGTAGTTAAAGGGTCAAAAGCCCTTCAGAAATTCCACGATGATTACCAGAGGTTTGAGGAGAAAGCTTTTCCATGCGGAAAACGTGCGAAAAGAAAACGTTTTATTTACAAGCTTGCGAGAAACGCACGTTCGTGTGTAGGCGTTGAAGGCTTTTCAACTTTTTTCCGTACTCTCACGATTTCGATTAGTGTGAATGGCATACGCCTTTTAAAAAACCTGGAATTTGATATGGAACTACGTTTAAGGTGTTTTTATATTGTCGTGTAAGTTTTGCCGTACGCAAAACGTGCGTGAAAGGATAAGAGTTAAGTAAATAGGTCTGGGCAGTATTAGAGTAAATGCTTGGAATGAAATGGGAGAGGATGAATCAAAATATTGTACAATTATTCACCGAAGTGGAGGTGAATAGTACTTGCAGTTCGTCTCCGAACTAGCCAATTAGCGCGCGTGAAAATCACTATTCACTTGAGTGGTACATACTAAGATCAAGTACTGCTATCGGATAATCAATATAGGTAAATGCATGAGAAAAAAAAACCACAAGAGTACAATTATCGCTCTTACAACTTCAAAAGGAAATATTTCAAACTCTGGATTCAACAGTATTATGATGGTTAAGGACCGTTGCCCGACAATCAAACACTGTGAAACCTGTATCAAATTTATCATAACAGCCGACTGACAACCAGGAAAAAAAAAGAATCATCGGCGTAAAATTATCGTCATAGTCAAATATAGTAGGAAATGCGCGTTTGAGTCACGTCGCGGTTGCTTTCTTTCATTTATTTCTAAAGTTGAAGCTCACCCATAAGGTTCATTTTTAAAATCATATGATGAAAATCTTTCGGAAATAAGGAACCAGTTAGTGTCGTGTTTTTTAAAAGATCATTCTAATTGGTTGTTATCTCATTGTTCTGCGAAAGTGTGTGATTCTTTTTCTAATACGACAAACCCAGAGAGGGGAAAGGAGAAGGAAAACCATTTTGGATGTTAGCGATCATTTTTTAGACTACACAGATGGTTAAGTAGGATTTTCAGTCTGAATACGATTTAATCTGACTCAAGCGGCTTTTTTTATTTTATCTAGTTTGTACCTTATATTTTTATAGACCTTTCGACCAGTTTTATGAAACTCGAATACATTTTATTCTAATGACGGTACTTTCAGGATCGAGGGCGACTAATCCATCAGTTGAATTACTGTTGTGTGTTACCC